ATAAGTAATACTGAATTGTATGCACTCATTATTGATTACATTTTTCATGCAATAGGTTTGAAATTATTTAAGGATTAAAATAAACCATAGTGTTCCTATACCTATCTGTTAACCTTAAGAAGTTATGAATTTTTAAGTGGAAGTGTATCAAATCCGGAAACATTTTATCCCCACATTTCAGCCAGGAAAGGGTTAATCTAGCCAATACACCATCCACTATTTACAAGGGCACTCGTATTGCCTCACTCTTTTAACTACCACAGTCTCATTTTCTGGTGTCACAAGTGACAGCCACCCCCTCATTACATAAGCAAGACCTCCTAGGAGTATTGTACAGAGCATTACTACCATTTTGGACTCAGAGAAAGAGCAGTTCTACTCACTTCTACTCTCATTTTTGGAAGTTTTTCCGAATGATGATGACCTTAGTCTTACTCAACACAGCATCAACACTGGGTCAGCACCACCAATACGACAACCTCCAAGACGGGTTCCTAAGCATAAACAACAGGATGCTCACCAGCTTCTTCAAAGTATGCTTGACAGAAATATAATTGCTAAGTCTGATAGTTCATGGTCTTCCCCTATTATTTTAGTGCAGAAGAAGGATGGGTCACTTCAATTTTGTGATGATTACCATAAAGTCAATGAGGTGACTAAAAAGGACGTTTACCCTCTCCCATGCATTGACGAGACATTAGACATGCTGGCTGGCTCTGTATGGTTCACGGCTCTGGACCTTCTGAGTGGTTACTGGCAGGTAGAAAGTGGAGGAGAAGGACCGGGACAAGACAGCTTTCTGTACCAGAGAAGGTTTGTTTCACTTCAATGTCATGCCCTTTGGGCTTTGCAATCCCCCAGCTACCTTTCAACGTCTTATGGACATGCTGCTAGCTGGGCTGCTATGGGAGTCGTGTTTTGTTTACATTGATGATGTAATCATCATGGGGAAGGATGTCCAATCTCATTTAGCCAATATTACAACAGTATTCTCGCGTCTCCGTGACACTGCACTAAAAGTTAAGCCATCCAAATGTGAATTCTTTAAGAGGGAAGTTAAGGTTTTGGGACATATTGTTTCCAATTGTGGCATCTCAACAGTCGGTGTTGGATTATATAATCTGTTCATCATCTATTGTCGGAAATTCAGTGAACTTCTTTGTTCATCCTGAACACCCTCTGAATTTGTCTGACCATCTCCCCCTGTCTGCATCTTTCTGTTTCTCATGTCCATCCCCAGCTCCTCCCTTGAGTGCCAATGCTAAGATTAACTGGTCTGAAGCAAAGAATGATGGCTCTATAACTCTGTATAGTGATGCTGTCTCTCTTATGCTTGAACCGTTACTTCATACATCTGGTCAGTCTATTTGTGAGTTCAATAATGAAATTGTCTGTGTGAGTTATTAGTTGAATATGCCTCCTAATATTTGCCATCTGATTCTCCCAATTCAGGTCGTAAGTCTCAGTTTAGAGATGGCACTCTCTGCTCTCTTTGTCATGCTAGCAAATCTGCTTGGAGACAATGGCACTCAAATGGTCGCCCTCAAAGTGGTCACATCAATGACAATATGCAAGCCACCAAGAAATCTGTCAGAGATGGAGTGATTAAACTTCGTGCGTCTATTACCAGGAGGGAAATTAAACGAATAGATTGCCACTTTAAATCTAATGACAGAAGACGCTTCAGAGTAAAAGACCACTCCCACTCAATCCCCATCAGAATCTGTTCCACACCTGGTGAAGTTATGTCTGACCAACAGGCAGTACCTGAGGAGTTTGTAGCGGATTCTTCTCAGACCTATCTACCTCTACCATCAACAAAAATGTCAGCTGTAACCGATTTTCCACTACCCATCAAAGATCCTATCACCCAGCTGCCATTGATCCATTATTTGAAGAGTTTTTGATTGCTTAGATTCTCAAGGCTGTCAAACACATGTAAATGGCCATTATCTCTGTCAAAAAGACAGCTATCAAAAAAGATCCGGCTGGTGATAGTTAGTTTAAAGACAGGCCTACAAAGTTATCATAATTTCTAAAACTATTGTTTACTGTCATTCAGAAATGACTGTCCGAAGATTGAGGATTTTGGCTGATTATAGGTATTGTCGGACACCATGCTTTGAGAGCTTATAACTTTATATGCACTCTTGCTAGAGCTACAAATTTTGTTACGGAAATAAAGAATAACTATTGCTATAATACTTTGCAGTTTCATGAGATGGCAATGTAGTTTTTCTAGAACAAGTGTCCAAAAATTGGTAGTGTCCGATCATTGATAGTTTACTCTAAGTAGACATTTTTTGATAAGGGACTAGTTCAGTAGTTCTCTCAGAGTAATGGTACAGCCCTACAATTTGTTCAATTGAACAGAATAATTTGTTTTGAAAAAATGATATTTGAACCGAAAGGTCCTTATATTGTGTTAGTGACATATCATCTGCTTCAGCTGAGAGTAGCAGACTTTGACTGAGACTGAACAGTGAGGACTGAATAGAACTGGAATGCATAGAGCTGACGGGACAATCACTGACTATTGGATTCTAATCATTACTACATTGTTAGACTTTATTATTATTAGTTATGGTTTCAGCTATGCATGCATTCTTGCGCATGCCCAGTGACAGATTGAGCATGTGATTTATTGGTATCTCTGATCTTCATAATGTTCACACTCCCTTTATCTCTATTAAGTTTTGTGTTCAATGTTTGGAAAAAAACAACACTAGTTCTACAACAAGTCACAATACTAAAAGATAAAATTAATTGTGAGATGTGACCATTTTCAGTTGTCCCTTCAAAGGGATGCCTCTAACTAGTAGCAGCCACGTTTGCAATATGTGATAGTTTCCGTACTCCTGAGATCCCTTTACTTGACCAGGCAGCTGCTTACGAGCTAAGCCAAGTCTCCTCTGTGCCTCTGAATAGAGAAGAGCTCTATCCAAATCCCCCTAATAATATAACAATCAATATTACCATCGAATGCAACTACATATTTACTTATTAACTATCTAATATTAAGGAGCATATAATTTAAAAGTAAAACTGCTGCTCCATATCAATGTTGCATTGAGAAGCATGCAATGCATATCAGTTTAGCTCTGTACATAGTACAATATATTTGCTTACTTCCAGGGGTCCATGGCGAATCTTCATCAAATAGTCCCTATCACTACCAGTACAAGTGACAACTGGATTGCCTCCCACTACAAAACTCTCCAGCGAAAGCAACTTGTGAAATATTTGATAAAAAGACTTTCTTTCTCTTGCAGTACCTGTGTGCTTTCCACTGTCAATGAGCTTCAAGTGTGCCTTAATGAAACCAAAATACTGGGATATGACAGTCTCATTTATAAAGCTTTCCCTAAGCGATGATAACTGTGGCCAGTAGGTACTCGTGTAGTAGAGATTGTCTGCAAATAGCAACTATAAAAATTTAATACAATATACATGTAACTTTAGCAACAGCTGCAACTAAACTTATGTAATTTATTATTTTGTCATACCTCAAACATTGTCACGGATCCTTTTAGCAACATCTCACAGAACAATCTTACCTCATAGGCAGCAACTCTTTTATTTTGCTTTGCCTCCTATAGCAATAACAAGAATAGATTAGATAAACAATGTTAAATTAATACATACCCTGTAGTTGAAACTACTGCTAACAATAACCTAAATAAAAAATTTAGCATCCATTATTTTGCAAAACATTACCACTTTCTTTGCAGATAACATTTTCAGTTATTGAATTTGCACAGTTACAGGTATGTACACACATGCACATGTGCAATAACAGCAATATGCAATATTCATGTGTCTGGGTATGCAACTTTTATTCTAAGAATCCTAGCTGTCTTATTTAAATAAGGTTCCCAGAAAAATTCATTTTATCTCTAGTGTCATGACATCAATCCATTTACTGTTTCCTTGTCCTGTGAGGCACAGCAGATCTCTCAAGACTCTCAAATCCACCCATGCCCCAAAAGTCAGTCATGTCCTATTATCATTAGGATACAAGGGATGTCCTGGAAGAGATCCCTCCAACTCCCTATATTAATGTTCAGTCTTTCTTGTTCTATGGGATACAAGGGATGTTCCAGAATTATTCCCTTATCTTAAACCCCCAAATTAATGTACTGTTGGTCCCGTTGTACTGGATACATGATGTCAGTTTATGCATACACGATATTGGTCTATGGGATTCCGGACGTCAGTTTATGACAGCTAAAACACAAAAAATGCCGCTAAAGAGTATATAAAAAGATATGGCATTTAATTTAAAAATTGTGGCAGCAACTGAAAGAGTATCTAAGGAGAGAGGTAAAGCCACAAACCAAGGACCAACAAATAAAAGGAATTGTAAAGTTTTGTGACACTGTTGATGTTGCTACATGAACTAAGTATATCCACCACCTCTGAAAAATATTACCTAAAATGATTGAACTTGATGGGGCAGCTATAGGACATTAGAGGCATGTCACGCATTACTTTGGATCAAGAGTGGATAAAAATATTGGCAATGAAAAACAGAAAGGGATATTTAGAATTGTACTAGAGCTAATGCTAACAGGTAACAATTAGGTACAAAACTGCTTGGTTTTTTCAGAGCTGCAGATCTAAGCATGTGCGACCACACCCAAATTTTGGAGCACAGGCTTGAATAAGTAACAAAATGGTTATGGGAGGTAAGATGGCCTGATACAGCAGTCATAACATCACTTATTTTCCTGGAGAATGATTAACAGACATGGATCTGCGCATAGCAGTAGAATGGTGTAGAAATTAGTCTTATAGCACCAGCCAAGATCAAGACACAGCTTGTAAACTATTTGACAAGACTGACTTGAAGACCATGATGAAAAACAGGTGGCTGAACAAAGTGGCCGTTTTCACAATTTTTGACATTCCTCTTAGACAAGTTTAGAGCCATGTTAGTGGTACCAATGGAGTCCTCTGGTCAAAATAAGGTCTTCTAAGAAGTCTGGTAAGAATAGGAGCTTGTTTTCCCAGTATAGCAAGGCTGCAAAAAGTCATGGCAGCTATTTTGAAGTGGGGTGAATCCTACTTAGTAATGCTACCACATTACTAATAGGATTAAGATTGCTTTTTCAAAACAGCAGCCACTATTATGCTCTTGAAACACTTACAACTCTTTTATCTTATGTTGTGCAGCCTTATAAATAGCTTAGATGAGCTCTCCTCTACTGAGTGATTCTCCTGGTACCCTGATAGTGGACTGTAATGTACATGTAGCGGGAGCTTTCCTGGAGAATAGGCCCAAACTAAAATATCTGCAAAATTCATCAGACA